AAAGCTCCCAACGACACCCTGCCTATGCCTGTTGCCGACACATAGAAGCAAAAGAAGTGCAGCAGAAACAGTGAGTGCAGTGCAAAAAGGTTAGCAGTGAAGACAGAAATAAAAATAGGACAGACAGAGAGAGAAGAAAAAGACTGAGGAGGGAATAAAAGCACAGAGCTGAGGGTTTAAACAACAGCGCAACACTTGGGTGCCAAGTAGTGTTACATCAAACTAAAAAGAGTGGCCACAGTGAAGAAGAAGGTGGTTCCTTGAAGTACTCAGACCAATCAATACTGGACGTATCAAACCAAAAGTAAAAGCCTCACACCGACTGTTCAAGCTGTTCACAAGCAGGTTAGTTGACTGTTTAGCAACTGAAAAATAGCATATTTGCATCACTCTTCATGGTTGTTCAGACTAAGGTTTGATTTAGCAGATTAAAGTACAACAATAAGTTCTCATATAACCTTTCATATAACTATTTGATAGGATTTTTAAATATAAAGATATTCTATTATCTCCTGAAACCTTAAATGTTTAAAAGCTCAGTAAACCAGTAGTGAAAAACTCAGAGGAAAAGTATACCTACCAAAGTACTCGTTGAGGAAGGCGAGTGAGGCGAGGTAGCAGCCCAGGCTGAAGAACTCAGCCACCACCATGAGCCAGTGCCAAGTGCGGATCGTCAGCGCCACCATCAGCAGCTCAGTCAGGATGAGTGCCGTGAAGGAGATGGCAACCACGTGAACAAACTCCGACTCAAACAGCACCAGCGCGCCGTACATGAGGATGCCCCCTGGTGGCGCCAAAGGAAACATGCGGACTTTAAAAACTTTTTTGCGTGATTAGGTCTGGTCTAAGTGTCTGGGCTTAACTAAAATTACATTACTCATTATTCATTCAGGGCTTGCTGTGCACCAGATCTCCCTTTAAGAAATCACGATTGTTTTCTAAAGATTAACTGGCCCAGTCTATCAGTTTCATCAACAGTGGTCTGGGACACTGAGTTAAGGATTATGGTGTCTGCAGATAAGGACTGATTCAATAACATTATTTATGAGGCTGAAGGATCCACAATGACTTCCAGTGTGTCTCACTCTTGAGTGTCCAGACACACACTCATCCTTGGGCGCCTGCTGTATCTTGATAGCCTTTCATTTTATCATAACACTACACAAATTGAGCTTAATAGCCTATAACTGATCACGTAATTGCTTTTTCATATTGTCTTAATACAGCGCATTCCACCGACTCAAAGTCTGTAATAAATTATGCCCGATCAGTTCCTAATATTTTCTTCCTTTCATATTGCTTTTTTTCCCTCTCCACATACCGAGTATTGGCCTTTAATTAAAAACCTCGAGCTGTCAGGAAGTCACGCTTGAGCAAGAACATAGATCTTTCTCACTCGCTGCATGGCTTAGCGATTACAGAAATATCGATTTACTGGACAGACAAAAGCTTGCATGTAAAAGCGGATGGCAGTTGGAAACCTTAGATACTGAGAAACGGACTGTGCAAGGGTTTGAAGGGGCCCTGGGACTGTGCTACTAAACAATGCACAAATGATGAAATGGTGGCTGAAGAGTTGCTCTGACAGTTTAAAGATAGAATCACGCTGTAGATGGTTCTGCTATAACTTGAAAGTTGATTTTAGGAAGCAAACGTGAGTGAATGATAAGGAAAAACACACCTTGATAGACACTGATCAAAACCCAAATGAGGAAAGTCTTGAAAGACAATGAACGTCCCTGAAAGAGAGAAAAACATGTTTTTACTTGTTTAAATTCTAATGAAGGAAAGCTGTCAAAAACAAAGATTAAAAAAAATGGGATTAAACCTTAGTGAGGTCCTTATAAAGCTCTGGGTAGAGCAGGGCCATTTCTGGCTTCACATCTTGGTCCAGGACCAGGGAGAATACAGGAAACATGGTGTAGATAGTCGCATACCTACACACAAAGTAAAAAAAAAAGAAAGAAATGAGAGATGAAGACAGGAGACGCAACAAAACTGAAGGTTATATGATCGAATACTGTAGAAGCTTGCATCAGGGTTATGCTGTTGTGAAGCCGTCCTTACACTGGCCCCATGAGACTTCAGGTACTCACCCGACCATGAGGAAACCCTGGTACAGAGGCACGGAGGCAAAGTAGAAGATGGAGGAGAAGACGGCCTGAGGACAGGACACAAAACTGGTGTCATAAAGTCACCGAATGAGGAATTTTAATGTCCCCGCTGTGGGGAATTTGTAATTTCGTTTTAACCGCAAAACAACTTTCATGATGAACTCATTAGGAACAATCAAAAGCAAAATATAGGCTCAAAATATGTAACAAGAACCATACAGCATTTGTAGTGTTTTGTCTGTGTTTTAATTTAACTATCGCTGTACCTGCATGGTGGAGATGATCATGCCCCTGTGCATGACAAACTGGCCAAGCGCTGCAGAACGCTTGTAGCTGTTCCTGCCATGAACCATGAGCAGGCGGCCAATGTGCTTAAACTGAGTGATGGAGAAGTCTGCAGCCAGCGACGCCTGCTTCCCTTCCTATGTGAAACAAACAGAATAAAGATGCTAAGCTAAAGTAGAACAAGTAGAACAACTGTTTCTTTTATTTCTTTTTTCTTCACATTTAAAGACATGCCACTTCGTTTTACCAGTTTTATAACTGAGGGATCTGAGTCAAGGTTTTTAGAGTTTTTATGACCAAATTAAGTTACTGGACCTAATCCAGGATAAGACACACAAGGTCTGAATGAAATGTGCAGCAGGCTTTACCTTTCCTTCAATCCCGATGCCACAGTCTGCAGCCTGGATCATACTGACATCATTTCCTCCGTCACCTGCCACAAAATTACAAATTATATGATGCAGTTTCTAGAAGTAGCAGCTGGAATGGGCACTTTTAAATCAGTGAGTTTTCACTGCCATCTTGTGGACACATGCAGTACAATACATGAATCTTTCTCTAACCCAACTAAAATCAGTGATGTTAAACGGTCACATCTGGGATGCGACGGTTAAGGGACTGTGAAATTATGTGTTTTTCTCTGAAGCACTTTACAAACCAGTTCAGCTTTTATCCCAAACACGAGTATGAAATCGGTCTGGTTTAATTTGTCTGTTCACCAGAGTTTTATAAATGGTAAACACTTTCCACTCGAAAGGATGGGACTGAATTCACACAGATATTTTCTCCCGCTAACAGATTTTCCCAGGCTGTCTGTGGATCGTAGCCAAATGCCTTGTGGGCATGCAGGTCTGCCGCCCCTATATCTGTCAACGCTTACCTATGGCGCAGGTTCTGTTGGCTGTGTGCTGTTGGAGGAGTCTGACGATCTGAGCTTTCTGAGTTGGAGAGCAGCGACAGCAGACCACCGCTGGACACTGACATGCCAGCTCCACAAACTCGTGTTCATAGTACCTCAGACACACCTGTAGCACCACAAAGGAAGTAGCAGACATTAAAAAGAAAACTAACAAAAACAAAACAAAAAAACAAAGGTTGTGTGACATAAATTAACTTGTTGACCAGAAGAATGAAAACAGTGAGTGGAAATGTTAAATTCTTGCTTAACTTCTTCTTCTTTTTTTTTTTAAATTTAGCTCAAAGTTCCAGTTGTTTTTATTATCTTTCCCTCTCCAACTCCTCCACTTCTTGGGTGAACTCCAAAGTGTTCGTTTTGGCTAAGAAGTACACCCTCAACATCATCGGCTGAGCAAGCGTCACTGCACTGTGCTGTAGTACCTCTAAGGAGTCTCCTGAGATGACCAGAGCACAGTCATGTTTCCTTCTGAAGGCGTTCAGCTCCAGATGGGCCTCTCCTCTGTTTGAGACCTGCTCGAGAGCCACACAATACAATTATCCACAAGATCATTTAGGCTTTTTGTTATCGCACATTTAATCTTAGTGAACAGCTATCTGTTTTGGAAAATGCAAAGTGGACAAGATGTTCGCTGCCATAAGTTTTCCATTTACTCTTTGAAGTTTACTTATAGACCCATTTCTACTAATCAGGCAGGCTTCTCTTACATGCAGGTAGACAGTCTGTATAGAGGCAAAATGCAATCGTGAAATGAAGAGCTAACATAATATATATGCTTTTAGAAAAGTGGATAGAAAAGTAGTTTTTAATACAGCCATACACACCTGCCCACTCCCTTAGGTCTGCCAATCAGCAGCTCTTTAAGGTGCCGAACACCAAGGGTAAATTTAGAGGTGACCGTGCTTTTGCTGTAGCTGCTCCAAAGTTGTAGCATGATCGGCCCTTGCACGTTAGGCAGACCTCTTCTCTTTCTGAGTTTAAATCTCTTCTTAAAACATATTTATTTGCTGAAGCCTTTGGCACATTTTAAGAGATGGACTATTTGTTTTACTATTTTTTCTAATTCTCTAATTTTTAACATGTTTTATTGTTTATGCTATTTGTATATGTGCTTCAGGGGCTTTGGAAGCTCATCTTGTAACTGGAAGGTTGCCGGTTCGATCCCCAGCTCTGTCTGTCCTGGTTGTTGTGTCCCTGGGCAAGACACTTCACCTACCGCCTACTGGTGTTGGCCAGAGGGGCCAATATGGCAGCCTCGCCTCTGTCAGTCTGCCCCAGGGCAGCTGTGGCTACAACTGTAGTTTGCCTCCACCAGTGTGTGAATGTGAGAGTGAATGAATAGTCGAATTGTAATGTAAAGCACTTTGAGGGTCTCGAAAAGCGCTATATAAATGCAATCCATTATTATTATTAACGCAATTTAAAACAGTAGTTTTATTTTAAACTTCTTTAAAAATAAAGGTGGTATGGTAACCATAATCTCTTATCCACCCTCCCTGAAAAACAGAGTTACACCCAGAGTGTGAAGCTGCCAACTAGCCGACTGGTCCTTTTATGCAAACACTTTATGTTTTCAAATAAAACAGCGTACCGGTCTGAAGACGTGGATGTCTTGGTTCCTGGAAACCAAATGAGAGCTTTTAGCGATGCACGTAGCCGTCTCAAGCTTGTCCCCAGTCAGCATCCAGATCTGAGAAGAAAACAGCATGAAGAAACACAAAGTGTTACAGAAATAGCACAAAAATGGAGTAAAATTAAACAAATAAGATCTTCAGTTATCGCCAACACTTTATGGTTAATTAACATGAAAATACATCAAATTCTGATTAGGTGTAATATTATAGTTTTCCTGCTTTTTATCCCTCCTGAAGTAATTATTAAGCAACTTTCCTTCAAGGCATCAATATTGTTGTTTAAACATAATGCTAGCAAGCAGCAAAATTAATTTTTTTCTGCAGTCTTGATTGAGAAAAATTAAGTGGATAAATCCAAAGCATGTTTTAATCTTTTAATTATTTCTTCCACCTTTTTCTTTTACTCCCTTGCATTAACACTACCATGTCACTATTACTTTAATACTTTTGTTGGACTGCAACAAAGTAAATAAATCAAAGTGGAGATGATCTGACCAAAAAAAGAAAAAAGCATCGGTCTGGCGTCCAGTTTTATTTCTGCACCGACCTTGATGCCAGCATTTCTAAGCAGCTCCAGCGTGGGCCTGACATCCGCTTGTAGCTGGTCTTCCACACCAGTCAGACACAGAAGCTCCATCTCTCGCTCGAGACTCTCCACCACTGCTGCGACCTTCAGGGTTCGATCATGGATACTCAGTTTCGCTTGATTGTAGCGATTCTGCACAAAAAAAAGGAGAAAGAACAAAAATAACGAATAAAATCATGAAGCAATTCAGAGCTTCAGAACAGCAAATAGTGGACACGCCTGTTATTCTCCCTTTAGAGTAGTGTGAACTGCAGAGACTACAAAACCAATAAATGTATTTACAGGCAAACATGAAAGTGATCTGAGGATTATGATGGGTTTGTGGTTGTTTACTAATGTCAAAGATTTCTTTTTTTATGAGTTACTTAAACATTTGTTTCATCTACTCTTCTTTCATTATTTTGTTTATGACAGTTATATCAGTAAGTGTGAGTTAAAAGTCCAGAGGAGCCACGAACTTCACCCTCAAAAATGACCGTACAGTGAAAACACATATTTAGATTTTCATTTGGAGGGCTGTCAAAGGAGACTATATTAGATTTAAAGACGTACACATCGTTCCTTATAAACCAACAACTGATAAACCCGCATACCTCAAAGTCCTGATACTGCTCCTCAGATAAACACTTCTTCGCCACCACCAGAGTCCTCAGGCCCTCTCTGGCCATGTTCCCACACTGAAAGGAAGGAGATCAGAGATCTACTTCAGTCAAGAGCGATGAAGCTTTTGAAAGATACTTGAGACTGAAACACCCCTGAAATAGAAGATGTTGTGTATTTACAATAAATGTTTGCGTATGTTTCCCTGAGATGAATTTCAATCAAATCTAGGGCAGATAAGTTCTTCTATTAGAGCAGCTGCTGTGCAAGTACACCATGCAGACACTACTGTCAATAACAGCATATTGTTACCAACACCAAAAGAAATCAATATTGAATAACATCCCCTGTGGTGAAATTCAGAGGACACAGTAAAACAAAGGGATGGATGGCAGTTTATTTTTGATATGAAACACCAATAGGGGCAATCTGTCCACTTGATTGGTTATTGACAAGCTGAGTAACTGCAGCGCGTTGATCTGACAACGGGATATTACGGCCAACAGGACATCATTAGCACCATTGTTCAAGAATATGACATACTGTAATTACTTCAACTTTATCTAGGTCACTAATTAAATCAAAAGCTGCCCCCGGTGCTAAATGACTCAATAATGCCAATATAATTATGAACATATGCGCACAAGACCTTCGACCACCAAACTGGTGTAGGTGGCCTGTTGATCTTTTGATGAAATGTCCCCATTAATAGAGATGCCATAAGCAGCT